GATACAGATACACAAAAATAGTAAAAAGTGAAATAGTCTATATACAAGTGATTGGAATATGATATATGAGATAAATAATTTCTAATTAGCAGCCAGATGAATGTTATGGATGTTGTTTCAAAGTTCAGGTGTTTAATAGTCTTCTGGCCTGTGGGATGAAGCTGTCCCTGAGTCTGGTGGTTTTAGTCCGGATGCTGCGGTACCGCCTGCCAGACGGCAGCAGACAGAACAGTTTGCGGCTGGGGTGATGGGGGTCTTTTATAATCCTGAGGGCTTTCTTTAACCTGTTACGCTCCATCCGCCCGGTACCGATAAACGCGTCATTTGCAGGAAACAACGTCTAAAGAATCTTAATATTGAATAAAACTATGAATGTTTTATATCCATGTAACGGGAAGAAACTCAGCTAACTGATCTTTTTCATTTTTTTTTCAAAAAAACCCCACAATGCTAGCACTCAGCCTCTGACTTAGCCACGAGCGAAAAAATTGAACCTAAAACGGCACTTAAACTCACTCATAACTCCCTTATTACTTATCCTAGATGCACAACCAACCACTCTTTTTGGTGTCCTGGAGACACTGAATCTGTATATTGGTGCCCTCCTCAACACTCAGTGATAAACATTTGCAACGCTATAAACGAAAGCGTACATCATAACATGTGGAGCTAAGTAGCTAGAAACGCTAACATGGCTTACCTTGGTCAAAACTGGTCTTCAATGGCATTCAAACGATAAAAAAATGATACTGCAGTTAATCCATAGGTTCATCCAATGTGTCTGTGCCCTCTTTGAAATTATTTCTGATAATCCATAAGCAATAAAACTGCTTTTTAGTTTCCAAACTCCAGAAGGAGAAAATCTCCCAATGTAGTTTCATTTCTAGATGCGCAGCCCCCACCTTTTCTCTTTACAATGAGTGTGTAGGTGGGCCTCCCCCTTCGATTCTATTGGCTCTAACGGTCAGAAAGGTGTGTCAACGATCCAAATCGAGCAAGGGGGGCCAGAGATAGGTCAAATCCACCCAAATGACCCCAGAAGGGGTCATTTGGCTAAATCTCTCTAAAAAGGTCAAATTTCACTTGTTTTGCATCAATCTTGATACAGGGTACTTATTATATGTTGTACTTTGGATTCCTAAAGCTTTTAGTCTACTAACCCATCATCCAAGGGTAGTTTTCACTATAAGTACAAAATAATTGTTGGACGGACACTATAATTTACAGTTTTTTACTATGTAAAATCTGAATTTTCTTTCAAAATAAAAAACATTTATATTGATTCTGACACTTCTACATCCAACTCACAGATGTAACCTTGCTTTGATCAAATAAATTATTCATATAACCCTTTTAGAAGTTAAATTGTAGTCATTTGTTTTGGGCATGTCATTTTCGAGCCTGAAACATGAAAAACAGGCTTGGTGCTTAACAGGTTAAGGTTAACCTGGTATTTTTACTACATTTATTTTAGTTACTTTACAGATTTGGATTAATGATGTGAAATATAAACAACCCTTAAATCAGACTTTAGTTACACCTGAGTAAAATTCAGTGAAGGTGATTGTCAAGTGCCAACAATCAGGCGAGATATTTGGTAGTTGGTGCTTGAGAAGACAACAAATGTATCTGCAGATCTCTATAAAGCATATTTATTACTCGTTATTCTCTAATCGTTCATCAAAAACTGTATATAATGGCTATTTTGCACATCCCTTTCAAGATTTCAAGATTTTCAAAGGTTTATTGAAATATCATATACACAACTACGGTGTAGTTATGCAATGATGACACACTTGGGTCATAGGTTCCTCAACAAGAGATCTATCAATATGTGTGTACCTCCACCATTAAACTGTCATATTCTGCACATTTCTTATTCTATCTACATACATCTTATAAGAGTATAATAAATATGTATAATATCGGTTAAAATAAGTGCTTCAACATAGTTAACATTGCAGGAAAGTTGATTGTCAAGTCCCAAAACAAACCATGCAATATATTAAACGTTAAGTACTTTGTCAGGCTTAATATGTATCTGTAGATACCCCCAAAGCTTTTTGCTTACATGTATTTAAAAGAAGACCTTAACCTAAAGTATTATTTAATGTTTAAATAAAGCCTAATTAGTTTGTCTGTTTTGCACATCCTCCTATTAATATCTTTATACATCCGGCACTAAACTGTTTTATTCTAGATACCATTTACAGTATCTTCTTGATATTTTCTATTCTATATTTCTATCATTGACCTTCTACTTTCCCGCTATTTTGTATGTACTCTTAATATTTAAATGTTTTCATCAAATATAACACATTCAAAAGTGCTTTACAAAAATGAAAGACATTAAGAAAAAGGCATTTTAAAACAGTCATTAAAAAGCAACACAATCTACCTGCATTGCAATGACTCTAAACGTGTAATAACGTGCTTTAACCAGTAGGAGGTGCGGGTTAAAAAGCTGTCAAGTTTACAGTGTTAACAAAATAAAATATACTGCTGTTTCTGCTTTAGTTTACGACGGATATATTCTGTTATTGTTTTGATATTTGTAACACAAAAGCGATGTGAAAAACCCACAGCAACACAGAAAAGAAGGTCTTAACATGACCCAGCGCTCTATAGTTCATAAAAAACAATAATATCAAAACAAATTATTACTACTAACTTTATTGTGAAATTAAAACAGAACGGTAAAAGAATAGTTTCCGGTCTATTCTGAGCCCGATCTCTGTAGATAAATAAAGAACTACGACAGATGTGTAATGTTTAATGCAGCCGAACCATTCATTACAATGCATTCATGTGATGACTTTCAAAGAGTAAAGCAAGCACTGCTGAATAAAGTATGATTTCATCTTTTACGAAACGTTTTTTTTCATATGGAATGCAGTTGGAGGTCAACCAATCACAGAGCTTGAGGACTAATCACGGGGTTTGTCAAACAAAGCAGATGGTGTAGTCCTAAACGATAGCTGAGGATTCTGGGTAGTGTAGTGTCTTCTGCCATCCTAAACTCCGAAAAAATATTTGTTTCTCCGAATCGAAGGGGAAAAACACAAAAGCATTGTACACAATTTAAACCAATCAATGTTGTGTAATTAACAAGATAATCTGGTGTTTTTGAGTTGATGAGTAGTAGAGATATCACTGTCAAATCAATCGACAGTAAGGGGAATACTTACTTCCGGGTGTACAATTCTCCGTTATCCAATGGGAATGGACGCTCACATTGCCTTTAACAGCCGCCGACACAAACGAATGTCGTGCTTCCATGAGCGTCAAATCCCGCCGCAGATGGGAATACATTGCAATCAGTTGAAAGCTATTTGCGTTTATGAAGCTGAAGGAGCCTAGGAGCGTCCCAACTGCACACCTCGGGACCCTGACCAAGCGTCGCTCCTGGACGTTTATGGAGTGAGAGTGTGTTGCTCTGGCAGACACAGGCCCCTCAGCCGGTTTCTAAGTCTGCACAAAAGGGGCTCGATGGCAATACTGTATAATAGGCCTGAGATAGGGCAGCCCTGCCTGATCCCCCTTTGAACTGGTACAGGTCTGCTCAGCCCTCCCCCCACCTTCACAACACAACATGCATCACTGTACAAACACTTCACCCAGGACAAAAAATGCTCCCCAACACCAAAAGCCTGCAAAGTGGCAGCCAGAAAAGTGTGATCCACACGATCAAACGCCTTCTCCTGGTCAATAGAAATAATACCAACATTTATGTTATAATAATAATAATAATAATACATTTGATTTATATAGCACACTTTAAAAACAACCTCATCTCAAGGTGCTTCACAAAGCTATAAGGAACAATAAGTAAAAAGTTATCTAAAGGAGCATATTGGATAAAATATGGCAGTATAAAAATAAAAATAAAAGGTTAAGAGCATAGAAGGTTTAATAAATAAATAAAGTAAAGGACAGTCAGTAAAATGCGGTGTGGAACAGGTGGGTCTTGAGGCATTTCCTAAAAACTGAGAGTGATGCTGAGGTCCGTATGTTCTCTGGAAGCTGATTCCACAGACGTGGACCCAGGGAGGAGAAAGCACGGTTTCCCATGGGGACCAGTTTTGTCCGCGGGACCGCCAGGAGATTATAGCTGTCTGACCTGAGTGTGCGTGAGGTATGTGAATGTTTTCTGGTTAGCAGTTCCTGTAGGTAGGTGGGGCCAGTGTGGTTGATGGCATTGTTGAAGACCATTATGAGGACTTTGTAGTTGATCCGGTGTGTTACAGGGAGCCAGTGGAGTGAGTGAAGGATGGGGGTGATGTGCTCTGATTTGCGTGTTTTTGTGAGTATCCGGGCGGCACAGTTTTGTATATATTGTAGTCTCTGAGTGGTTTTTGCTGGAAGGCCTGCAAGCAGAGAATTGCAGTAATCAATGCGGGAAGTGATGAAGGCATGGACCAGTTTTTCTGCATCCGGTTTGGTGAGGGAGTGTCGCATTTTGGAGATGTTTCTTAGGTGGTAGTATGAGGCTTGGCAAACCGTCTTTATGTGTGCTTGGAATGAAAGGGATGAGTCCAGTTTCACACCTAGGCTCGTTACAAGCGGGGAGAGGGGAATGGAGTGGCCATTGATGCTGATATGAGGGATATCAGTTGTTTGTGTTTGATGTGGTGTTCCAATCAGAATTATACAGTTTGCAAACAGTTTGCAAACATCAAAAGTGTCTCTCATCAAAAACAAATTGTCCACGATTGATCTGCCAGGGATGCAATATGTCTGATCAGTACCAATAAGAAGTTCGATAAAACACTTCAGTCTGTTAGCTAAAACCTTTGACAGTATCTTATAGTCCGTACATAAGAGAGCCACAGGTCTCCAATTCTTCAGCAGGGTTACATCTCCTTTCTTAGGCAACAGTGAAATCACTGCACGCCTACAGGAAGCCGGCAGAGTCCCTTTCCCAAAGGACTCCATCAATACGTCCAACAAGTCATGTCCTAGAATACTCCAGAAATGTTTAAAAAAGTCTGCAGGTAAACCGTCTATGCCCGGACCCTTGCCGGAGGCCATCTGTGTCACCGCAGAGGTCAGTTCCTCCAGCGTAATGTCAGAGCCCAGGGTCTCACTTTCGGCTGGACCCAGCTGTGGAAGACCCTGAAGAAGTTCATCAGCAGCTTCTACGTCACAACCTTCGGCTTTGAACAGGTCTGTGTAGAAGGACACTGCATGCCTCCTCGTCTCAGCAGGTTCAGAGGTTACCTGTCCATCGGGGAGACGCAGACATACCATCTGCTTCCTTTGGCCCACAGACCTCTCAAGGTTGAAGAAAAAGGTGGTTGGTGCATCAATGTCTCTCATGGAAGTAAAACGGGCTCTGATCAGAGCTCCCTTGGCTTTCTCCTGAAGAAAACAGTTAAGCTGTTGGTGTTTTAGGACTCGGACTGTTCTATATTTCGAGCAGACACACTCTCTACCTCTCTGATCTCCCTCTCTAAGTGCTCTATAGCTCTCCTAATGTTGGCAGTGGAGTAGGCTGTGTACTGTTGGCAGAACACTCTAATCTGAGCCTTTCCTCCCTCCACTGACTCAGGGAGGGAAAAGACTCTTTCTTTCATTTCCAGTTGATCCAAAACAATTTAAAATTCTCACAGAAAATCAAATCTTGTAAAATGTGAACATTAAACTGCCAGAACGATCTAGGTTTCTCTGTGTTGGATAAAACCAAATCTAAAGAAACTAGCTGATGATCTGTAAAACCAACAGGTTGGATGTGACAGTTCACTGCACGAGTAATAAAAGAAGCAGACATGTAAAATCTGTCTAGCCTGGCTGCACTGACGCCCCCATCCAGCATTCTCATCCAGGTGTATTGTTTAACAGAGGGATGCTTCATCCTCCACACATCCACTAAGTCAGCCTCTCTTATCACCTGTGACAGTAAAAGGGACGACTGAGGATGCGGCTCCCGTCCTATTCTGTCTAAAGTGACATTAGTGCAAACGTTCCAGTCCCCCCCCAGTATAACACACTCCCCCTGTACACTAGTGTCTAGCTTGTCTTTTAATAACTGAAACACAGATACACGTGCAGGGCCCTGATTGGGTGCATAAACATTAATAAAAGTGAAAATGAACTCTAACAGTTCCACTTTCACCATCAAGGCTCTACCTGCCGCTATCTCTGTGCTGGATCACATCTTAACATTTAAAGAGGGGGAGAAAAAAACAGCTACTCCAGCACTAAGGTTTGAGCCATGACTGAGTACATACTGACCCCCCCAGCACATCCCCCAGTCCGTCTCATTCAGGCTATCACTGTGCGTTTCCTGCAGAAATATCACATCTAATTTTTTCTGATTAAAGACCTCTAACACTAAAGCTCTTTTCTGTGCACTTCTACCCCCGTTCATGTTTAAAGAAGCAACCCTTAAAGCCTGCATTAGAGGAAGGAGACAGAGAGAAAGAACAGACAGGTACACACAGCAGAGAGGAGACACCCAGTGTTGCATGATCATGTTGACATTTTATTTAACCCTTTTCAGTTTCCTCCCTCTTTTGCTTTCTTTCGTACCTTTTCTCATAGCAGTTACATGCTTCCTGAGACGATAGCGTTTCTTTTCATCCAGCAGGTCTAACCCTACAACTTTCTGAAGAGTGCTCACTGTATGAAGAAACTTGTTAGTGTCAGGGAAAAAGTCTCTCACTTCCACTGCCTTGCCAAAAGACTCATCTAAAAAGACATTAATCTCTTCCAAAGAATATATCTCTGCGTTCTGAGAGAGACTATCTGCAACTGAAACACAGTCAGAATCCCCCTCACCGTCTGTGTCCATCTCTGTGTCTCTGTCACCTCATTACTGTCTGCAGCCTGTTGAAGCTCTGTCTGCCGCCCAGAGCCAGACGGCAGCTCCTGCTGTGTGCCAACAGCCTCCACCTGTCCCACAGCCCCGGTCTTCACCTGCCCTGCTACATCATCTCCCACCCGTTTACCTGTTTCCACCTGTTTTCCTCTCACACTCACCACACTCTCTACAGTCCCCATTTCCTCTCTCACGATATTCATCCCTACTTCATCCGCAGCCCCCGGGGCCCCGGCGGGTGCAGCAGCAGCCCCCGCGACACCGGGTTCCGCGGACCCAGCTGCCCCAGGCTCGGCTGCTCCGGCGACCCCGGGCCCGGCTGCCCCGGCAACCCCGGGCTCGGCGGCCCCATCGGCCCCGGGCTCGGCGGCCCTAGCGGCCCCGGCTGCCCCAGCGACCCCGGGCTCGGCCTCCCCAGCGGCCCCGGGCCCGGCTGCCCCGGGCTCAGCCGCACCCGGCGGAGCGGCGTGCCGTCTCTGTGGACATGCAACACGTTTATGACCCGACTCCCCGCACTCAAAACACTTTACGTTCCCTGAGCTCGCATAAACCATATAAAAACCCTCTTCATGCCTCACCCGGAAGGACACATCTAGTGTCTGAGTGGGACAATTCAGAAACATGAAAACCTGTCCCCGCAGAGATTGGACATGTTTTAATTTTTCATCCTTACACCCCAGAGCAACACTGCGGAAATTACTGGCAAACTTACCGAAACGCTTCAGCTCCCGTTCCAGCGCCTCATTCGGGATGAACGGAGGAACGCCAGACACAGTGATCCGCGTGGACGGTGTCGCCAGCGGTGAAACTTGAATAAATTCCTCGTTTAACATTAATCCGCTCTCGATAAGTTCCGTCACATATTTCTGGTCTTTCAAAAAGACCACGACCGCTTTGTTCATGCGGGAAGCATAGGAGATGTTTACATGACCCACCTGATCCCCCACAGCCAGCAACACCTGCTCCACTGTGCTTGCGGCCTGAGCCACCAACCGCACTCCGTGTCTCAGAGACACCGGCGGCGCCCCGAAGGACGCCATCCCCGCCTCGAGGCACGGAAAAACACTAACGAAAAAGTATTAACCGTACTCGCAAAGAGTACAAATATCCCAACGAAAGATCATACAGTTAAAGAAACGATTGAAACAGAAACAAACGAAACAAAAGTGAAAATCCCTCTTCCCTCTTCAAACACACCTCCACCACAGAAGAAGAAGAAGAAGAAGAAGAAGAAGAAGAAGAAGAAGAAGAAGAAGAAGAAGAAGAAGAAGAAGAAGAAGAAGAAGAAGAAGAAGAAGAAGAAGAAGAAGAAGAAGTGATGTAAAGATATTCAGAGAGTCTTTATCAATTCAATCACATTTCACGGTGGTGCAGTTCGATAAGTGTTTGGACTGAATGGCTGTTTCCATGTAATAAGACTTCAAGGTTAACTCACTGCTGTGAACATAATCAAGGGAAATGAGACGTCCTTCATGATGGAAGCCCAGAGATGAAAGAGATTACATTAGAAAAATATGAGGAACCTGCAGTCAGTCTGTCCATACCTGAGAGTCTCCAGTTTCCAGAGTGGATCCTCCAGTCCAGCAGACAGCAGCTTCGCTCCTGAGTCTCCTAGATGATTGTAGCTCAGGTCCAGCTCTCTCAGATGGGAGGGGTTGGATCTCAGAGCTGAAGCCAGAGAAACACAGCCTTCCTCTGTGACCAGACAGCCTGACAGTCTGGAACCAGGGAATACAGTAAACTCAGTGCTTTAAAAGGTCACATGAGCAGGAAAATCATACAGAGGTGGACCATCTTTATCAGCATGAACAAAAAGCTGGATGAAATAATTGAACTGTTTGAAAAGAAAAAGCTGAACTCTGACCTGAGAGTCTCCAGTTTACAGTGTGGACTCTCCAGTCCAGCAGACAGCTTCTTCACTCCTGAATCCTTCAGGTCGTTGTCACTCAGGTCCAGATCTCTCAGACTAGAGGACTGGGAGCTGAGGACTGAGGACAGAGCTTCACAGCTTCTCTCTGACAGGTTGCAGCCACTCAGCCTGGGGAAAGATCAGCAGTGAACACAAAGAGTTATATTATCATGTCTCAAACTGTTCCTAGTTAATGTAGTTTTATCTCCACTTACAGAGCTTTCCTGGAGGCTTTGACCACTGGCAGCAGCTTCAGAAGAGCCTCCTCTGAAGCAGAGTATTTCTGCAGGTCAAACTCTTCCAGATCTTCTTTTGATGACAGTAAGATGAAGACCAGAGCCGACCACTGAGCAAGAGACAGTTTATCTGTGGAGAGACTTCCTGAACTCAGGGACTGTTGGATCTCCTCCACTAGAGAACCATCATTCAGTTCATTCAGACAGTGGAACAGGTTGATGCTTTTCTCTGGAGACGGGTTCTTTCTTATCTTTTTCTTGATGTATTCAACTGTTTCCTGGTTGGTCTGTGAGCTACTTCCTGTCTGTGTCAGCAGGTCTTGTAGACGTTTCTGATTTGTCTCCAGTGAAAGACCCAGGAGGAAGCGGAGGAACAAGTCCAGGTGTCCGTTTGGACTCTGTAAGGCCTTGTGCACAGCACTCTGGTAGAGATGTTTAGGTTTTCGTCTGAAGACTTTAGACCACCAGGGGGCCATCAGGTTGTCTCCAGAGTTGATGAAGGTCAGATGGACATGAAGAGCAGCCAGAAACTCCTGAACGCTCAGATGGACGAAGCAGAACACTGTGTTCTTGTACGTTCCTCTCTCCTCTCTAAAGACCTGTGTGAACACTCCTGAGTTCACTGAGGCTGCTCTGATATCGATGCCACACTCTCTCAGGTTGGACTCACAGAAGATCAGGTTGCCTTTCTGCAGCTGCTCAAAAGCCAGTTTTCCCAGAGACTCCATTATCTTCCTGCTCTCTGGACTCCAGTTTAGACCTGTCTTAACTCCTTCATCATACTTGACGTTCACTTTCGACAGAATCACCAGGAAGTGGATGTACATCTCAGTCAGGGTCTTGGGCAGCTCTCCTCCCTCAGTTTTCAACATGTCCTCCAGAACTGAAGCAGAGATCCAGCAGAAGACTGGGATGTGGCACATGATGTGGAGGCTTCGTGAGGTCTTGATGTGGGTGATGATGGTGCCGGCCAGCTTCTGATCTCTGAACCTCTTCCTGAAGTACTCCTCCTTCTGTGGGTCAGTGAACCCTCGGACCTCTGTCACCATGTCCACAAACTCAGTGATCTGATAGGCTGCTGCAGGTCGTGTGGTTATCCAGAGGCGAGCAGAGGGAAGCAGCTTCCCCCTGATGAGGTTTGTCAGCAGCACATCCACTGAGGTGGACTTTCTGACATCAGTGTTCTCAGTGATCTCAGTGTTGTCGAATTTCAGAGGAAGTCGACACTCATCCAGACCGTCAAAGATGAACACAACCGAATCAAACTGATCAAACCTGCAGATTCCTGCGTCTCTGGTTTCAGAGAAGAAGTGATGAACAAGTTCCACCAAGCTGTACTTGTTCTCTCTCACCACATTCAGCTCTCTGAAAGGTAATGGAAATATGAACTGGATGTCCTGGTTGGCTTTGCCTTCAGCCCAGTCCAGAGTGAACTTCTGTGTTAAGACTGTTTTCCCAATGCCAGCCACTCCCTTTGTCATCACTGCTCTGATTGGTTTACCTCTTTCAGTTGAGCCTTTAAAGAGGTCTTCTTGTCTGATGGGTGTTTCTGATCTGTCTGGTTTACTGGATGCTTGTTCGATCTGTCTGATCTCATGTTCCTTGTTGACCTCTCCGGTGTCTCCCCTGGTGATGTAGATCTCCGTGTAGATTTTATGTAGGGATTCAGATTTTTCCATAAATTTGATATTTTCATATGTTTTCTTCAGGTTTGATTTGAGTTCACCTTGGCACTTTGTGAGAATATCTGAATGAATAAGAAAGATATTTACATGAAAGACACATCAACATGTTTCCTTCTAATTGGACCCATTTCTGACAAAATAGCAAGTTATTTTCCTTATGTCAAGTCACTGGATATTGTTGCATAATTATCTGTACATTGTCCAGTATAAGTTCACCCCACAGAGAACCATCAGTTTTCCCACAGAGAACCATGGCCCTAAACCTGACTGACTCTTATTCCTGCTGCTGGGAGATGAGGCACGATACCAGCTGATCCCAACACCCACTGAGGGTGTGGACACAGCTCTCTCTCCAGTTATACAGGAAGTGGATGGCTCTTAGTGAGTCGCAGTATACTCCTGCAGTAGCCTACCATCTACAAGACACCCTGGGGGTCACAGTAATAACCCGTCCCTTTCTCCCCAAGTCATGTTGGACGGCAAATGATACCTCCTTCCACCTGTAGGGGGCTGGGCCGTTAGTAATGAGTAGGACATAATCTGCAGTGAGCAATCAGTGAGGCTGAGCAATGTGCTCCTCTGGGGCCTCATTTATAAAGGGATATACGCTCAAAAAATGGCGTACGCCAGTTTCTACGCAATGTTTGCGATTTATAAAATACTAACTTGACGGGAAAATGTGCGGTCCTCCACGCAAACTCTAACCCATGCGTACGCACTAAGCACACAAACGGGAGAGACGAGAAACTGCGACACCGTTGGCAGAAGGAAGAATGGAGAGAAATATGTGGAAATAATACCATCAATAAAATGTTACCTCTCATTTATCAAATATGAAGAATTACTTTTCAAACATTGATTAAAGCCAATCTTTAAATGATTAAACAAACGCCTGTTTGAGACTCCTCAGTGCACACAAACACATAAATTGGAGAAATAAATAAATACGGATATGTTATTTAAAACCACCTCGAATATGTTGTGTTAATGTTATGAAATGTTTTCTCATAAATGATGCGGTAAGCAGGAGGACAGAATTACGTCTAAACTGACGCCGTTTTGCATTTCTATAGGTTGTAGATACGAGCATGGTTTTATATACTATCACGTTTAATCGTGTTTTATACTGTTTGCCAAGACTTGATAAGTGGCTCGTAAAACCCAGGAGGTATGGAAACTAAGAACACCATATGTGGTAAACAGCTAATATAACACAACACATTGTATTTCCTTTAACTGGTGGATTATGGATCTATAGTTGCTGATCGACAGCTGGAACACAAACCACCAAATACAACACAATCATTCAGATCCAGTCGTCATGACTACACTCCAGAGGGATTCCCCCATCATTTCTAACAGTTTCTCATCAAGGGGGGGGTCTCCTGTCCCCCGGACAAACACACTGCCTGAGGAAGGTTATGTGTATTTATTTTGTCATTAACTTTTTTCGGACCACTTATTTATTTATGTTGGTGACGATCCGACCTCCATGCTGCTCCTCTGGTTCAAACTGCATCCACCAAACAATATGATTTATCTCCACCTCCCCAAAATAACCTAAATCTGACACGGTGTGAGATGTCTTTTTTAGATGTTCTGTCCTCATTCCCTGCGATCTTCTTCATGCAGTCAGTCAGTCACAATGAATGAATGAATGGGCGTTTCTTTGACTATTTATAGGCAAATGTGGGCGTTACGAGTCGATTGTGATTTATAAAGGGAAACAGGCGTAGGGAGTGCCGTACGCACTTCCCTCGCCGGTACGCAATGTTTTGTGAATCGGAAAATGGCGGAAAATGTATGTACCTATTTTTGTGCTTTGTACTACGTAAGCAACCTTCCCACGTCAATCCTACGCAAGGCGTTATAAATGAGGCCCCTGATGTTTAGAGCTTACCCTACAGTCCCCTTTAAATCATGGACAATGGTCTGCCTCCATGCAACATTGGACAGGAATGTAAATCACAACTGTCCAATCCTATGCCAGGACAAACCTCCACAGTGTGTCCCTGTGGCCCCTTCTGACCACCTGAGCAACAACAGCTGTTCTCCAAGCCCTCAGCTCTGCCTCCTGAACTCAGTGTGCATCAGTCCCATTCAACATCCTGAGACTGAGTCAGCAGCTAACCTACACTGTGGCAAACACCCGGGGTTTATCCATGACTCCCCCTCCTGAGACATCTGACAGTTCGGCAGGACCAACCTCATTCCAAACAGAATTGTCAGTTTCCTGGGAAAACGTAGCACTCAAGGACTCCAGGAGAAACTCGTTAATATAGCATTGGTGGTTCAGTAGAAATCTTGCCTGGACCCCTAGGTCCGATTCCCAGCCAATGCAGAGTGTTTTAGTGCCGCAGTCTGTAGGAATTTGTCTTGGGAACCGACAATAACACGGAGTGTAGACTGGTTCCTGGAGAGGTGCCAGTTCACCTCCTGCCCTCGAGCAGGGCACAGAACCCCCAACTGCTCCCTGGTGGTGGACAGACTGGCCGCCTGTTTTGTTCAGACCTCTCTCACCTGTCCCGTGCATGTGTGTGTATTGTACTATCTGTTACCACAACCGAGTGAACAACTGAGCTGAATTTCCCCTTTGGGAGGAAATAAAGCATCTTCTCCTCCTTTGTTTGTTTTGACTCCTGTTTTTCTTTGTAAAACGACCTTGGGTCCCATGAAAAACTAGTGACCCTGACCTCTCTGCTTTCAGGGGTACCTCAACCCCTAGATGTAGAGGTGATGGTTCTCTGAGGGGGATATCAGGAGTCTAAAAACATGATGCATGGCTGGGAAAAATAAAATAAAATAAATGTATATATATAGTTATATTTTGGTACACTCTTTTTTAAAGACCTACCTTCAGGGTCTGATGGGAATTTTGATAATTCCTCTTCTAGATCATTCCTCGGGATCTTCTTCAAAACGTCTCTGGTCACTTTAATGGTGTTTATGTCGTAGTCCCGAAGCATCAGATCCACTGTGTCCCCTCGGTCTGCTTTCTCTAGTTCACTCTTTGGGATTCCTGGGAATCCTAGGACCTTCCCCTCCAGGTACCACTTCAAGTCTTTAAACTCATTTTCCCCCAAATCTTTTAAAGTTTTGAATAGGACTTCTCTAGGTGTCTCCATCTTTTCTCCCTGCAGAGCAAATATACAGAGAAAGAAAATCTTTATCTTACAGAACTATATATTGTTGTTTTGTATTTTTGTACTTTTGAAAACCACAACAGGCCTTCAGGATCCAAAGAACAGCTGCCATGTGACTTTGGATGGCTTCAATTCAGATGTCGAGTTAGCAAATGCCCTAATCGGTTCTAAACTTGTTTTAATACCTTAGACTTCACAAAAGACATTCAGGAAGTCAATCCTAAACTTGAAGACAGTCAGCACAGTCAGTTCTGTCTTTTCCTTTAATGTCTTGGTTTGGTAACCTGTCTTTAAAGAGCAGAAACTGTCTCAGTCAGATCATAAAGTGGTCTAGCAGACTGATTGGTGAGTCACAGCTAAACCTGGAGCCCCTGCTCATCAGACCGTTACAGAGGCTGTCTAACTCCATGTTCAATGAAGACTCCCACCCCCTGCAACCTGAGCTTCAGCTTCTTCCTTCGGGCCGGAGGTTAATCTTCCTAAAGATCTGGAGCCAGAGGGACTTTTTAAAGATGTGTCTGTTGTCTATATTGTATGAAGCATGTGGCACAATGGATACCTTTTCTTACTTCTGCAAACCAAGTTGACCTACTGCTACAAATAAGTACCATGAGAGAAATAAGAGAGTGACTCAGCCGGCGACCACACACCTGGTTCTGATCTCTGCCAGTAAGCTGGTTACTGGGTCCAGGTCCAGGTCCAGGTTCAGGTCCAAGTCCAGGTCCAGGTCCAGGTCCAGGTCCCGGTCCCGGTCCAGGTTCAGGTCCAGGTCCAGGTTCAGGTCCCGGTCCCGGTCCAGGTCCAGGTCCAGGTCCAGGTCCAGGTCCAGGTCCAGGTCCAGGTCCAGGTCCCGGTCCCGGTCCAGGTCCAGGTCCAGTTCCAGGTCCAGGTTCAGGTTCAGGTTCAGGTCCAGGTCCAGGTCCAGGTCCAGGTCCCGGTCCCGGTCCAGGTCCAGGTTCAGTTCCAGGTCCAGGTCCAGGTCCAGGTCCAGGTCCAGGTCCATGTCCAGGTTCAGGTCCAGGTCCAGCAGGATGTGGTGTTTGCTCTGGGCTGGAACACAACACACAGAGCTTTGAGTGAGTAACGAGTGCTGAGCTGTGACATGGAGAAGAGTGATGGACAGGTGGAGATCTCACCTCTGAGCTTTGGTCTGGCTGTCATGTTCCCCAGAGCCTTTAGAGGGGGGGGGCTTCCTCCTCTCTGTCCTCACTCTGATCCATAGCAGAGCCTCCACCTGCACACACAAACAGTCACTTCAATGTACATCCACAGGTAATGTACAGCCCTGCCCCCCACAAAATATCCCACACAACTGAACTGCCCTCAGTAACCATTCAACAAAACGTATTTGTTAGGTTTAAAAAATATATAATTGTTTGGCTTAAAATATGTACGTTAATTACATGAAAGCAGTTACGGACTTTAAAGTGGACCTATCATGCTATATTTGAATAATATAGTGTAGGACCATACCTATATAAGGCATATTTATACTTTTTTTTTTTTTAAATACCAAACAGATCATGCATTTTAGCCATGCCTCATTTCGCTCTATTTGACATTTTTTAGCTCTGTTTTTGCAAGGGCTGATTCAGTGAGAACAGCACCATCTACAGGCCTGGCATATGTACTACAGCGTCTCCAGCGCTTTCGAACGGCAATGGCCGTGGCTGTCTCCTCCTGATTGGTGGAGTTGGCCCAATAGCCGTAGCGCCACCGTCCTGACGTCAGGACAGTGTTCAAATCTGGATCAGTTTTTATCAGATCCGTTGCAGCCCCTTTTTTAGAGATTTGGGTATGGAGGAAAATAGAGAGGCTTGTGTTTTCTGACACTTGGTGAGTTCCCTGGAACACCGGGGACACATATTCATGTAGAAAAGACGTACAAAAGTGCATTTTGCATGATAGGTCCCCTTTAATTAAAACGAGGTCTTTTATGAACTGATAAGAAATGTGTTTTTGATATATCATTGAAAATAGGAAAAACAAGTTCCCTCATAACTAAGTTACAATGAGGTTCAAATCTAGGGGAAGAATATTTTTGAAGTTTGATATAATCTCCCATTTACTTTTCATGCTAATTTTTTGTATAGCCCAACATATATATCAAAACATGTACTGTTATATATGTTTTTCGAATTAGGGCAATCTAGTCCCAGATGTATAATCTAAAACTTAAAAAAAACATTTGACATTTTCAAGGCTCTTCAGTGAAACCAGGTCAGTGTTGGAAGACGGGTCCTTCACACCCCTTCCCTTATTCAGAGTGTTAAGAGTTAAACAGAAAAACAGTCACACGTTGTTAGAGCGGGTTCTGACACGCCCTGCATTTTGCTCTGATGAAGAGAACTCAGAGAACAATCAGACTGCAACTCATTCTACTTGAAACACTGACAACAGTACATGGAGATCTTTCTAAACCCATTCTGCTTTCACTCAGAGAGAAACCCTACACAATATTTCAGACAGATGTTCAAACAGACCCTGGGTATGTTTGAGTTATTTTAACAAACACTAACAAACGAGATCTCGCTAAGTGGTCCTACGACGCTGGTTATCAACTCAGTAAATCAACCAGGGTTTCACAAACATGGACAAGCGTACTGACAGCGCAGCGTCATACTTCATGATTGAATAGTAAACTATCATGTTAGACAAATATGAAGACGTTCAACTTTTAACATCCATGACTTAAACACTTTATCCAGGATCAAAGCCACATAGCTGCACGTGAAAGGTCAATACAGAACAGCTGGTAAAAAAAAAACTACCAAGTGTTTGAATGCGTTCATTAACAATTTTATGATATCACTGCCTGTCTACTCACAGACTCTCTTCAGGTCTACTCACAGACTCTCTTCAGGTCTACTCACAGACTCTCTTCAGGTGAGGAGGAAACTCTGCTCATCTCTTCTTCTTCAGTCCTGAGTCTGCCTGCATCTGATCTGAGGACGCCTTCACACCCTCAGAAATCCAGAGAGTAAAAACACGTCAGAGTCACGTGGAAAACGCCCTTACAGGTTGTAGCTGTCAGCCTGCCAAACTCTCCCTCACCTCCCTTATTCAGACTATTAAGAGTTAGACAAAAACAGTCACAACTTGTTAGACCGGTTCTGACATGCACTGCATTTTTCTCTGATGACGAGAACTCAGATAACAATCAGACTGTAACTCATTCTGCCTGAAACACTGACAACAGTACATGGAGATCTTTCTAAACTCATTCTGCTTTCACTCAGAGAGAAACCTTTCACCATATTTCAGACAGATGTTTAGAATCAGCATCAAGAAACATGTGTCCTGTTCAGTGTTGGGCAAGTTAAATGTAATACAGTACATATTACTTATTAATGTCTCTTTTAAGTAATAAGTTACATTACAATATTACTGTCTCTGAAATGTAATGAGTCACACTACTTTTGTCACACTACCAGCTGCTCTTGCAGTAATAAGTAGCACCTTTCTTACTGTCCTAATGTGCACAATGTAGTGACTGCTTTTTCCTCTTTTGTTTTCTTAGTTGTGTTCTCTGTATTTCATATATCTGTGTTCTGTGTTCTGTGTAACGTTGCTGCCTTCTTGGCCAGGTCAGCATTGAAAATGAGATTTTATCTCAATGCTTTTATCTGGTTAAATAAAGGTTAAATAAAAAAAATAAAAAATGTTATATTACTTTTGAGTTGCTTTCACCAAAATAACCACAAAAGAATGGCTAGGTATTTAAAATGCTAAAATGTAGTTTAGTGCAGCTCATTATACATCCAGTGAAAGGCAATGTGGTATAGCATAACAACTGTGTAGGCCCTTAAGGCTACTAACAACTTTTATTACACGGCTTAGTTGAATACTCGATTCTGATTGGTCAATTCAGAACACGTGACACGTTGTTAATACAGTAGTACAGACCGCTGTCAAGGACTATAAAGACCGTTGCTAAGGAGGATCAAGAAAGAGAAAGGAAAAGAGGTTAAAAGACAGAGCGCTGGACATCAGATAAATCACCAGAAGAAGACAGACAGGAAGTAAACACTAACAGTAACACTGTATGGACTACAGACAGGAAGTAAACACTAACATGAACACAGTATGGACTACAGACAGGAAGTAAACACTAACAGGAACACAGTATGGACTACAGACAGGAAGTAAACACTAACATGAACACAGTATGGACTACAGACAGGAAGTAAACACTAACAGGAACACAGTATGGACTACAGACAGGAAGTAAACACTAACAGGAACACTGTATGGACTACAGACAGGAAGTAAACACTAACATGAACACTGTATGGACTACAGACAGGAAGTAAACACTAACAGGAACACTGTATGGACTACAGACAGGAAGTAAACACTAACATGAACACTGTATGGACTACAGACAGGAAGTAAACACTAACAGGAACACTGTATGGACTACAGACAGGAAGTAAACACTAACAGGAACACTGTATGGACTACAGACAGGAAGTAAACACTAACATGAACACAGTATGGACTACAGACAGGAAGTAAACACTAACATGAACACTGTATGGACTACAGACAGGAAGTAAACACTAACAGGAACACTGTATGGACTACAGACAGGAAGTAAACACTAACATGAACACAGTATGGACTACAGACAGGAAGTAAACACTAACATGAACACTGTATGGACTACAGACAGGAAGTAAACACTAACAGGAACACAGTATGGACTACAGACAGGAAGTAAACACTAACATGAACACTGTATGGACTACAGACAGGAAGTAAACACTAACATGAACACTGTATGGGCTACAGACAGGAAGTAAACACTAACATGAACACAGTATGGACTACAGACAGGAAGTAAACACTAACAGGAACACTGTATGGACTACAGACAGGAAGTAAACACTAACAGGAACACAGTATGGACTACAGACAGGAAGTAAACACTAACAGGAACACAGTATGGACTACAGACAGGAAGTAAACACTAACATGAACACTGTATGGACTACAGACAGGAAGTAAACACTAACAGGAACACTGTATGGACTACAGACAGGAAGTAAACACTAACAGGAACACTGTATGGACTACAGACAGGAAGTAAACACTAACAGGAACACTGTATGGACTACAGACAGGAAGTAAACACTAACATGAACACTGTATGGACTACAGACAGGAAGTAAACACTAACAGGAACACTGTATGGACTACAGACAGGAAGTAAACACTAACATGAACACTGTATGGACTACAGACAGGAAGTAAACACTAACAGGAACACTGTATGGACTACAGACAGGAAGTAAACACTAACAGGAACACTGTATGGACTACAGACAGGAAGTAAACACTAACATGAACACAGTATGGACTACAGACAGGAAGTAAACACTAACATGAACACAGTATGGACTACAGACAGGAAGTAAACACTAACATGAACACAGTATGGACTACAGACAGGAAGTAAACACTAACAGGAACACTGTATGGACTACAGACAGGAAGTAAACACTAACAGGAACACTGTATGGACTACAGACAGGAAGTAAACACTAACAGGAACACTGTATGGACTACAGACAGGAAGTAAACACTAACATGAACACAGTATGGACTACAGACAGGAAGTAAACACTAACATGAACACTGTATGGACTACAGACAGGAAGTAAACACTAACATGAACACAGTATGGACTACAGACAGGAAGTAAACACTAACATGAACACTGTATGGGCTACAGACAGGAAGTAAAC